AGTCTACGTACCCTCTCTGACCCTTGAGCATGGTTAAATGGCACGGTCCGCGATCAGGTATCAGATCGAAGTTGAAAATGTGGCGTCAGGAGGTTAGAGTAGTCCGCGACGAACAACCTTGTACCGTTTCCGCGGCAAAAAATTCTATGGGAGGGGCGCTGTAGCGCAATATAGGTTCCAGTGGCTCCTCCTTTTTTCCAGTGACTCCGCCTCCAGACTCCGCCCCTAATGACCGACTTCCAGTGAAAAATGAGATTGCAGGACGAAAAAGCATGATAATTCGCCCCCACTTGTTACGGATCGTGAAATCTTGTCCGGTGTTTTCAGCCGTGCCACCTGCCCCACCGTAGTTTTGGAGATAGAGTGATTGGCGCGCTATAAACTGGGATAAATAGGCTTCTATCCAGGGCAGGTGGTATGTTTTTTGTGCTTTTTTTGTTCACAGTCGAGTTACTCAACCCCTTGTCGTCTATATGGAACCTCCTAATCCACCATCTGAGATGGCGAGTAATCGCGTAGGTTCTTCCTTTACGTTTTGAGTAGAAAGAATCTACTAGTCACTCTATCCTACAGGATCATGTGTGGGAACTTCCAAGAATCCTACAAAAACCCCTGAAGACGTACACGATGGGTGCAGCGACGGCACTTTGGTCGCCAGGCTCCGCCCACTTTCGAGCAGTTTCAATTCAAACTTCGTGCTGGTCATCGTTGCTTGCTCAAACAGGATGCTGCTGCTGAAGCTTCGGCGAGTGCCAGAGCTCCGCCCACTGAGAGACAGTTCGCGGCATGCTGCCTTCGCTGTACGCCGCGCTCTCCTTGAGCATCATCTATCGAATCACTATCAATCTACCCGATCTGACCTATACGTCAGAACTTCAGAGCGTCGGCTCCAAGGACTTCTACAGACTTCACGCGAAGTTGCACATGCTGTCGATAGATTACTAGTTGACTTACCTGGACAACATAATGCGACCGTATTCCAGTACAGGTACTACTGCATCCTCACTTCGATAGTCAGTTGTTCTTTACCGTTCAAACGATATTTATCAGGTACCATAAGGACCTGGGAACGTTGGCCTACCTTGACATCTACTCGGACGAGTTGTCATCGACGAAAGTGAAGCAAAGTCTACAGAAGGGCATCGACGACGGCTTCATCGGCCAATTTCGTGTCTCCAACGATGGCTTCACTTTCCATGTTATCAAAGGTCCCAGTCTGGCAAGATTCTTTCGGCTTTACCCTTCACCTCCACGGATGCCTTTGAGTGTGTCTGAAAGGCGCTTGCCTTCAAGTGCACGAATGTTTGTAGCGTGTGTGTTTAGGCATTTTCTCTCACCGCACCCGATATCTCAAACGTACTTTGCAGATCGATTGATCAGAAATGACCCGTCTAAGCTCATCCCTCCAAAGCTAAAATGGTCCCCCCCCCTAAAAAGTAGGTGACTGAATAGTGAGTTTTCTCTTTCAGATGCAAACTCCAACTGCTTACCGAGGGAATTTCAATGTTCTGATGGAAGCTGCATCTCTGGAAACCAGAGATGTGACGGCAAAAAGGACTGTATTGACGGTTCTGACGAGCGTTCTGATTACGGTGAGCTCCATCCAACTTTCATTTCTCTTGGGTACTTAACTTGAAATTAGTTCATATAGAAAGTATCATTAGAAATTATTGATTGTTTAATTGTGGAGGGTTGTACTTTCTTTCTGGAGAAGAGTACAGGCCTGAGAGTGATAACCGCACGATGAGTTGGTATTTGCTGATGAGTAAGAGATTCCTTTCTTAAGAGGGTTTTTTTCGCGATTACTGCCGCGATTCGTGAATCATTTGTCTCTCGAGTAGCAACTGTTGCAATTCGATTTCCGGTACTTTTGGAGAAAGTTCTGCACAGTAATTTAGACGCCAAAGTCTGTCAGACCGATTCGACGCTATTCGACTTGAGGGGGGGGGGCATTTCGCACGTGCGCTAGTTCCCTTTGCAAATTCATGTTAACTAGCAGGACTTATTCTGGTGAGACCTGCAAACTCTTGTCGAGCTGCAAAATGGTACAAGTGATCCACTTTGTCTTCATAGGTCTTTTCAAAGTGAGACAGCCGAAGGGATGGGATTTCCCTCTCAAAGGTCTTTGTACTACTTAATTCCATTTTATAAGACGATCCCGATATCTTACTGAATCATCCACCAGTATCGATCGATAAATATGATTGGGTTCAGCTTAGTCTTTTCCAGAGTGAATTTCGTTAGAAGCTCAAATCTCAACATTGGGATCCTGTTAGAGGGTAGGAGAGATCGATCTCATGGCCCACACTGCGCTGCTTGGCTTTGCGGGGAGCGGGGGCCATTTGGCTAGTCTAATTTCAACAGTTCCTGTTGAACGTCTCATCTCTCGGTACCCCCCGGCAGACTCTTGTCAAAATGGACAGCTCATTCGCCTGTTTAGAGCTTTATAGGGAATTGGAAGGTTTTCACAAGTCGGTATACACGGCTGATCGACGTGAACTAGCCAAAAATGCCCCTAGCCAACCCGAATCGCGGGCGACTAGGTACTTACTACATATTGGGAGACCCTTCACCTTAACTTCTGCTCAGGTTTTGAAGTCTGTCAGCGGAGGGTTCGCATTTTCTTCCGGCCCTTTGTCAATTTACGCAGTCCTCTCTTACCTCCCCCCCCCCTCTTTGCCTCTCAGGACTCCCATTCCACTGGGTTGAGGATCACCGAGTAAGGAGAAAGTTTCGGAAAAAGACCTTGATTTGACGAAGTACTACCGTTATATGATCACTTATTGCTTGCGAAGTCGTCGGGTGGTGGCCCTACACTTCACCACTTCTTGTCTACCATGCTTGTCCATAGTGGACCTATGACCGTTACCCTCCTCTCATATTTTGACTGCTGCAAAAAAAGGAAATTTCCCAGAAGGTTCACCGTTTCAGGGGGAGAAGCTGGATATGCCTGACTCGCATGAAGCTTATTGTGGTGCAACAACTTCCCTATTTTTCAGCCCATTGTGGTCATGCTTCCAAGCCGGTGATTTACCAAACCAATCGGGTTGTCTACACGCCTTCCGGCGGTGTCGCTCTTCTCTCGGCCATCATCGATCAGATTCCTGAGGATCATCAGGTCAGTTTACAACTGTAACGATTACCTGCTGTCTTTTCTGGTACAGCTAGATCTTTTGGATCTGGTTACTTTTTTCTTTATCTTTTCTGAGCTTCGTTGGTCTCTTCTTAATAATCGCTCACTACACGTTTACTATCTACAGTAACTCGTTCAGGTGTTATGGTCTCGTGGCGAGAAAGTGCTCGCTGAAGGATCGCTTACCACTACAGATGACGGCCGAATCAGCGCCTATAGTGCGTCTTCGGAATACTTTTTAAGGATCGAAAACGCCACAGCTGCAGATGAAGGAGAGTACAAGATTACCATCAGTGGAATGGGTGCCGAGGCGACCTTTGAGGTCAGTGATCCAGCTAGTTATTTGTCAGAGGTGGTAACAGCTAAATTAGCCTGCTCATATGTTGTTTGATTGGCCCTCAGAATGAGGCAGAGTTAAAGGAGAACCTCCAACCTCCAAGTTAGGAAACGATTTGCCGCGACAGAAGGATTGGTTCCACTTACACCATTTTTTGAGTTCAGTCTAAGCCAAGCCATGTGACTCCGGAATCCATCTTGTACATATGACCCACTTGGGGCGCCCATAAAGATCCACCGAAAAGCTACCAC